GAGAGAGAGTGAGTTTTCACATATGAGAGATTGGTGACGTTTAGCATGTTTGGAGATTATAGTTAGTGTGCAGTGTAGTCGTTGTTTTGTGTGTCAGTTATAGTGAATGTCACAGTTGTTCCAAAAAAGTCACCATAGGCAGATTGCAGTGTAAACGCTATTTCCAGGCGGAAAACAAGATGAGTGATATACCTCGTGTTGTCATACCTGCAAGGTTTAGCCCTGTGGTGTGCTCCTCTGTCTTATAGTGGACAGAAACTAATTTTGGAGTGGCACAAATAATTTGTGTGCCTTCTTATTTGTTGCAGAACATCTGATTGTTCTGTAAATAGTTTTAAATGGTTATTTAAAAAAACACCTGAGGCCTTTGCTGCATTTTTAGGTAAATAGTACCATATGACTTTGTTTTTTTCATTTTGACATACCGTATTAGCTCAATTGATTTTAATTCAGACAAAAAAAACCCCTGAAAATCTAACAAACAAACTCCAAATTCAGATATGTGAAGTTGCATTAAAAAAATGATATCAAACACAGCAAGATAAACAGTTTTTAAATATAGAGGTAAAATCAAGAGTAATCAAAAAATTATACCCTGGACCCCAGAGGGTTAAACATGTTGTAGTCCAGCCTCTGAATAAAAAACCTGTTCTTGATCCCACGGTTCTTGCAAATTACAGGCCTATCTTCAAACTATCTTTTCTTTCTAAAATCTTTGAAAAGATAGTTTACAGCCAGTTAATGCCCTTTCTGGAAAGGAAAAATGTTTTAGAGGTTTTCCAATCTGGTTTTAAATCCTTACATCAGCCCTTTTAAAAGTATTTAATAACATATTTTTGGCTACTGACACTGGCGACTTTGTTGTCCCTGTACTTTTAGATTTGACAGCTGTGTTTGATACAGTGGATCATGCCATTTTACTCTCTCGTTTGGAGAAGTTGATAGGCATAAGGGGCACAGCACTGGAGTGGTTCAGGTGTTTCTTGGCAGAGTAAACTGACAAGTCTCTGTGACCACGTGTCCTCCTCCTCGTGTGGTGTCCCAAAGAGCTCAGTTCCAAGTCCCCTTCTCTTTTCTTTGTATCTACTCAGAAAAAATGGCATTGCATCAATTCATTCTGTTTTATACAGCACCAAATCACAACAACAGTCGCCTCAAGGCGCTTTATATTGTAATGTAGACCCTACAATAATACATACAGAGAAAAACCCAACAATGCAAGCACTTTGGCGACAGTGGGAAGGAAAAACTCCCTTTTAAATGAGATATCAGTATGTAACATCTTGTTGATAATTTTCTGTCACATCATCATTAATCACACAAAGTCTTCATGTTCCAACAGGTCGGGGTCATCATCATCATCATTTGTCACGGCTATGTATGCAGCAACAGTGGAAACAATTATGCGGTTAATCATGAGCTTTAGACATGGCAGGATACATGTTACAAAAACACAAAATAAAAGTAAAAATATCCCAACTCCGATGAGCAGTCTTTTTAACACCTGTAACCAGGAGCCAGTGTAAAGCCAAGAAAACCAGTCACTTGTATTACTCACATAGTCCTGATTTTGGGCCTGTTGGATCTGTCTCAAGGCGTTCAGGGCGTCAGTCATGTTTGTTTAGTGTACATTGTCTGGTATGTAAGTGCAGCAGGTGTTGTTAAAGAGGACGCAAAGTCCCCCTTTCTCTGCTAGTATCATGTCCAGAGCTACTCGATGTTGCATCACTGCGATCCGTAATGCATCGATTTCCTGGTTCTGCTGTTCGTTGATTTTGCACGAAGCGTTCAGGAAAAGTCCAAAACGGTAGTCCAGAGTTTCAATCCTCAGCATGTTTTTTCCGGTTCCCACCCAGGGGAACAATGTGTGGAGTACTTTCTGTCCGGTAGTCCACAGTTTGAATTCCTTGGGTACGTCGCTTCCCCATATTGGGTCATGTGTTTGAATTTCGTTGATCTTCTTTTCCGGCGTACAGTTGAAGTAGTGTTTACTGCGGTCATTCTGAAAGTGTGGTCTGACAGGAATATAGGAGCACATGTTCCTGTCCAGCCTGGGGGCAGTATGAAATATGCCCGTTGTCCACATAGCCAGGCCATTCCTTGCACCCAGTATGTGCCATTAGATGGTCCAGTTGTGTTCACAGGGGAACCTTCTCTCCCTCCAGCGGTCCGGTTGCAGTTAGTGGTGTTTCCAAGCCGCCTGTTACCTTTGTTTTGCTTATAGCACATGGAGTGGTTCTTCCCTGGGGTTTGGTCCAAGAACACTGGGAAATGGATGGATGTATTCCGGTTTGTCACATTGAAGTTGATCCAGAAAAGTTGATCACATGCTCCTTTATCAAATCCAACGTCTTCATTGGTGATTTTCTTGTGTTGTAACCCTCCTAGAAGGTTGACGTGAAGCGTGTAAATCATAGGTGTCAAACTCTGGCCCGCGGGCCAAATTTGGCCCGCAGCCTAATTACATTTGGCCCGCGAAGCCATGCCAAATTACTATCAGAGCTGGCCTACTGGTATTATACAGCTAATATATATATTGTTTAGTATTAAGCTTTGCTTGTTCCATATTCAGTTTTTCAGCAAAACGTGTTTGAGTCCATAAGAAAAGATTCATTCTCAAACCTAGAGGAATAAATATATTTCAATAAATATTAATGTTAGCCCGCAACTTTGTTCCAGTTTTGAATTTTGGCCCACTGTGAATTTGAGTTTGACACCCCTGGTGTAAATGATAAATGGGTTTGTGTCGTCGATGGTGGGCATATGAGAACAGACATAACAGTCTGTATTTGCTGATTCTGCCCTGGTCCTGGTCCATTGTTCATCCAAGGGTGGATGTGGTCTTGTGTCATGTCCGTTAGGTGAGAGTTGTCGTGTGTCCATCTTTTCTGTCTGCCTCGTGGTTCAGCTGTTGTTGGCTTCAGCTGGGGTCCTGTAAGGGTGAGCATCGTAGTCAAGGTAACCAAGAGGGTCCACCTTCCCATGGCTGCGTACAGGTCCGTCACACCCTACTGCTTGGTTACCCTAGAGTTGGTCAATAGCTGGAGGTGGAAGTGCGAGCAATGCTCAATCAGCACTTCACCCTCACCACTGAAGCAACCAAGCAAGGGTGAAACTTTCCTAGTTGATTTCTGTGGAGGAAGTGGAATCCTCAGACTGTGGTTGCTATGGCTGCTGCTTTTGTAGCGTTGTCAGCAAAATTGTTTCCCTTTGTAATTTCAGATGTGCTGCACATTTGCAAATTGCTAAATTTCATATCACATGAGGAGTTTCCTCCCGTTTAAACAGATGTGTGCCATGATAAAACCTTTCTCCACACACTAGAAATAAGAAACTAATTTCAACCCTCTGTTACATCTTATTTACTTATTTTATAATCCAGTCATTTTTCCAAATCTAGTATCAATCAACTAATTTGCATATCAGCTCATAATGCGCTAAGTTGACAGGTCAACAGAAATGCACGTTCAAAATATTATCACAAAAGAGAATTTCCTTCATACAGTAAATTACTTGTGTTGCATCAATCAAACAGAAAGCATCTCACAATTTATTGTATTACCAACTAAATTTATTGTCTGATTACTGCTTGGTCATACCAGACTCTCTCTCTGTCTTTATTTTTTTCTTTTTCTTCTCTATTTTCACAAACGTTTCACCTGTTGTCCTGCAAGCTGGAGAGTTAAATGTCAGCAGTGGATAAATTCAGCATTTGACAACAAAACTCTGTTAAGTTTTCCCTGCTTTAACAGCAATGGGAGATATAGGCGCATGTATAGTGTGTGCTATAGTGTAAGCTGCTCTTCATTGCATGTATGTGTGTTAGTACACTTGCATGCAGGGCCTGTAGGCCTGTCTCACCCAAAAGGGCATTTTCTTAACAGCTGCCTTTCTCTCGTGTGTGTTAAGAAAGGCAAATGTGCTTGTAGCAGTTGTGAGATTATTATGCTGTTATATATTACATTATACCTGTAATCAAAATGAGTAAATCATGATGCTGCTATAGGCCACATCATACTTCTGAATTAAAAGAATGTGAAAATTATTAGATTTATTAGATAGGTTTGTATTATCCTATACTGCTGTGCTGACTTACTGTGAGTGAGTTAGACTATTTCATGACATTTAATACTGCTGAGTTATGAAGACACCCTTCCTCTGTGTGGCCAGTCACTAAAATGTTATCTACGTAGAGTAGAAACTGTCTCTGTCTCTCAGAAGTGAAGCCGAACAGGTGTTGTGAGTCGGGGTGTAAAGGCACTGAGAAAAAAGCGTCTGATAAGTCTATCACTGAGAACCATTGTTCTTTTGGAGTGACTTGATTCAATATAGAGTGGTGATCTGCTGCTACTGGTGGCATCATTTCAGTGATTTTATTTATTGCTCACAGATCATGCACTATACAGTATTTTGCAGTATTAGCTTTCTTCACCACTTAAACAAAACATCACTCTTTGTTTTATTATTATTATTATTATTTTTAATTCTCCTTTCTCAAAAACAGAAAATGAAATTGTAGTTGTTTTTGGCTGAGAAACACAAAACCTCCTTTTTCTTTTTTTTCTTTTCTTCAAAACGAGAAACTAAGTTTAAACTTTTCTGATTTATCACCTAAAACAAAGCAGACAACCCAGCTCTCAGCTGGCTCTGAACTTATCATCATCAAGGTCGCATGGTGAGAGCCACAGTCACAGTACTCCTCACTCAAGCAACACGTCAAAAACAAAACAAAAACTCAGCACACTACACAGAGAACAACAGTCAAGACACAACTGAAAATGCTGTTTTTGTCTGTTCTCCTTGAATTTTAGAATAAACTTCATCTATATTTGTAAATCATATGCCTAATCATTATGTGTCACTGTGATCCACAAGTGTGATCACAAATTTAATTATTTTTCAAAACAACAAAACAAAACAAAAAAAAAAACAAGTTGCTGATGGCATGAACGCTTTACACACATAAGTCAGGACACAAAAAAGGCTGCTGCCAAAAACAAATCAATCACGAATCGGGACAATCATCAGGGGTCCTTTGTCCCTCTTTTGGGGGGGGGGATACTCCCACTAGGTTTAAATCTGGGACTCTCCACCATTTGACCCTAGGACTGAAGAAGCTTGTTGGATGAGAGGTGAAACGTCTTTAAGCAACTTAAAGAAGTCCAGGCAATTTTCTTTCCAAGCTCCTTAGACCATATAGTTAGGATCAGGGGCAACTTCACTCAGGTTTTTTCGCCTGTGTCATTTGTCATTATTACCCATAACTTAAATTATGGACATCTATGGTTTGATTTCTTTGCGTGTCTGGATTGGATGTGGTGTTACTGACATCTGGTTAGAATTTCATGTCAATAGAGCCTTTAGAAATAGATTTACTTAGAAAATTGATGGTGTGTTCAATAGTTTTACTATTACTACTATTTTACTCGCTTTATGTATATATATTTTTATACTCAGTGTATTATTGCAATGCCAAAGGCAAATATATCACATGTGTCTACTTCACATTTTCTTTTTCCAGCTGCTCCTGAGGTGTATGCAATCAAAAAGGAAGCTAAGGTCAAGACAAACATCACCCTCATATGCCTCGTCACAGGCTTCTACCAAAAAGACATCATCATGAGGATCAAAAGGAATGAGTACATACTAACTGAAAAAGATGGCTTAATTAGCTCAGGAGTTGTTCCAAATGGAGACGAGACCTCCCAGAGAAGTGACCATGTGGAGGTTTTAAAGTCTAACCTGTCGCTGTACACCTGTGAAGTCATACATGAGGCATCCCAATTGAATGTTAAAGTGATTTGGGGTAAGAAACTCTTTTTATAGTCATCATCTGATTCCTGCAATATTAGTCTGGAATTCTGGAATTTAGTTCATTTAATTTATCTTTTTAATTTTACAGAAATTGTTATAATAATAATACATTATACTTTATTATATGTGCATGATATCAAGACAATGAGCACATGGTTCCTCTAATTTTTTGTAAAGGAGCATATGTTGTTTTTGTTGCCATAAAGTGTATATTTTTGTACTTTCTCTTTCACCCATTTTGTGGTTGGTAAAATGTTTTCAGTTCATTGAATTTTATTTATACAGTGCCAAATCATAACAACAGTTGACTTGAAGCGAGATGTGATTCTCTCCATCTCTTTGTTATGCTAAGAAAAAATCTATTAAAGTAAAGTTTAAAAAATAATGATGTATTGTCAGTCATGGTTCATACAAAGAAAAAAAGAATCAGCCAGAAGTGGTTACCATAAGGGAGTTTAATCTTTCCAGCATGTCCTGGTTATGCCCATCTTCATGGGAAATGCCTGGAACACCTCACAATGGAGGCCCACAGGAGGCATCCTTGTCAGATGCCTGAAACCACCTTAACTGGCTCCTTTTAATGTGGAGGAGTAGAGGCTCTACTCTGAGCCCCTCCCAAATGGCTGAGCTCCTCACGTTGTCTCTAAGGGAGAGGCCAGCCAAACTTCAGAAAGCTCATTTCTGCCACTTGTATCTCAGTTCTCTTTCTTTTAGTCACTACTCAGAACTTCTGACAATAGGTGAAACTAAGGACATAGAATGACTGATAAAATGAAAGCTTTACTCAGCTTTCTTTTCATCACTGTGGACCGTTACAACGTCTGCATTACTCCAGCCGCAGCTATAATCCTTTCCCCTCTCCCCTCACTTGTGAACAAGACCCTGAGATATGTAGTGGGTACTCCACCCTTGTCCAACTGAGGACCATGGCCTCAGATTTGGATGTGCTGATTCTCATTCCTAGCGCTTTACACTTGGCTGCAAACCGCTTAAGAGGTCACCACCTGATGAAACCAATACAACCACATCATCGGCACGCTATGCCTGGAAATTCCATCCATCCAACCATTCTCTTCCACCTATCCTTGTCAGTGTCGTGGGGATGGGGGCTTGAGCCCATCCCAGCGACCATAGGGCAAGTGGCAGGTAACTATTTGCACCGCACACCAGCTATAGCAGAATTGGCCCAGTTTGTTCCCAGTATACCCTTTTTGCTTTTTTCTGACCACTACTCATGCTAGGGCCTTCATCTGGGTTGGAATTTTCTCCAGGACTGGGTCAGACTGACTACGTTTTCTTTTGAAATATTTATCTATTGCTATTAAACACTGTGTAGTCGCACTCACAGCATATTTAATTTCTTCTTGTCTTCTTCTGTTTTACTGGCAATTGGTGACCTATTTAATTTGAGCAGGTAGATTTACTGCCCTCTAGTGGAAGAGAATGTAAATTTTCTGCCCATTACTCACGCTGGTCGTTTAGGCTATGTTCACACTGCAGGTCTTAATGCTCAATTCCGATTTTTTGATCAAGTCTGATTTTTCTTTTTGGTCTCGTTGTTCACACTACAAATAAAATGTGACAGCAAAGTTGCTCTCATGTGAACAGTTCACTACCATCAAAGCGGTCGCAAAACAAGACGTCACACACAACGCGCTCTGTTTACGGAAGTAAAAATGGTGGCTACAGAGCTAGTAGGTGTTGTTGCAGCAGTCTATCAATTTCTGCACAGTCGTAACTTGAATAGAATTGTCTCCCTATATGCTAATCAAGTCCAAAACCTCGGTTTCTGTCCACTGACTCGCCCTGTCTCCAGTGTCCGCCACCGTGCTTTCTCGTTTGTCTTCTCCGATGCTGATAATCGGCATCTGTGTTGTGTCAGTGACGTAAAAGACGGACTTAATGCGACTTGACCATTCAAACAGCAGTCGCTTTCTAAAACATCAGATATGTATCCAATTCAGCACCACATATGAAAGTGACCCAGATCGGATTTGAAAATATCGGATTTGTGCCGTTCAAACTGTCATACCAAGATCGGATACGAGTCGTATAGGGTCAAAAAAGCTGGATTTGATGAGCTTTTGCCTGCAGTGTGAACGTAGCCTTAGAGTATTAATCCGGTGGAACCAGAGAATCTTCCACAGCACACCTGATCATTTCTCACAGCACACCTATGTGCTGCGGCACAGTGGTTGAGAACCACTGCCCTAGGGGGCCTTCCACCAGGAGTTGTTCAACTGCCTCAGTGTCCTCAGCCCTGGTGATAGATGAGTCATCTCTCTCGTCCCCAGACTTTGCTTCCTCTCTGAACTGCTCCCACACCCAAGTTTTTGCTTCAGTCAGTGCGTGAGCTGCTTTTCACTTGGCACTTTGCATTCAAAATTCCCACAGGCTAAGATGCCTGATAGACCTCCTACTTCAGCCTGATGGTTCCCTTCACCTCTGGTGTAACCATCTGGTTTGGGGTTACCACCACTACAGGCACCAACCACCTTGTTGCTGCAGCTCAGGGCAGCAGCTTTTAGCAGTGTAGATGCTAAACATGGTCTATTTGGACAGTGTCCCCAGTGTCTTTTGAAATGCTGTTGAAGCTTTGCCAAGGTGTGTGTTGCAGATTTAGCTGACTGATGCCATGCATAGGGTGTGCTGTTGTTATGTATAGTCATGGATGCCCTTATGTTTGAACATTGTGTTTGTTATGGAGAAACTGTTGTTTGCACTGAAGTCCAGCCACTAAATATCATTCTGGTTTAGATCTGGCAGGGCAGATGGTTCCTCCCAGTCACGCCCCTGTCATTGCCCACGAGTGTTGAAGTCACCCAGTAGGACAACAGAGTGCCCAGGTAGATCACCCTCAAGTACCCCGCCCAGGGACTCCAAGAAGGCCGGGTACTCTGAACTTTCATTTGGTGCATGAGCACAGACACAGTTAGGACCCATTCCACAATACAAAGGTGGAGAGAACAAACCCTCTTGTCCACTGGGAAAAACTCTAGTGTACAGGTAGCAAGCCAAAAGGGATAGTAAGATACCCACCCCAGGCCCCTGCCTCTTATCAAACTCCACAATGAGTCCAGCACCTTTCCAGGATACTGGTTCCAGAGCACAAGCTGTGTTTTGAGGTGAGCCCAACTATATCTATCAGTATCTGTCAACCTCAAGGACTATCTAAGGCTCCTTTCCAACCAGAAAGGTGGGATTCCATGTCCCAATTGCTAGTCTCGGTAGCCGGGTATCGGCCCATGACCACCACGCAGGACATACACCTGACCCCTACGGCACCTCCTGTGAGTGGTGGGCCTAAAGGAGGGTGGGCCCATGTCCCTTTTTTGGGCTTTGTCCGGCCGGGCCCCATGGACTAATGTCCAGCCACAAGCCGGTCACCCTCAGGCACCCTCCCCAGGCATGCCTTCTGGGTGGGGGCCCGTTAAATGGTAAATGGCCTGTATTTGTATAGCACTTTACTTAGTCCCTAAGGACCCCAAAGCACTTTACACATCCAGTCATCCACCCATTCACACACTGGTGATGGCAGCTACATTGTAGCCACAGCCACCCTGGGGCACACTGACAGAGGCGAGGCTGCTGGACACTGGCGCCACTGGGCCCTCTGACCACCACCAGTAGTTAACCCTATCCTTGGCTGGGTGGCTGGGTAAACTGTTCTCTTGATCTTTTACTCATACGTGGTTTTGAATCTCTCTTTGTCTGGTCCCTCGTTCAGGGCCAATTTGCCAAGACACAATTAATGTGAATGTTTTCTGTGTTTCAGATATCAGTGTGTTTAATGGAAACAAAGCTCACATCATGGTGCCCACAATTGCAATTATTGCAATTGTTATTATTTTTGTGTGCTACTGTAAAAGACCGATTTGTGGTAAGTTCAGTATACTATATAATTTTTAAAGTACAGGAAAAAATAGTAATGATTTACTTTTGGTAATTTTTTACAGTTTTACAAAACATTCCAAAAATATGCTAAATGAGCAATTAAATTTAAGTGGTGCATATAAGGTGATTTGCCCATTACCTGAAAATATGAAAGGAAACATTTTCAGATTCTACATTAAAATGACAGCCATTAAAAAAGTCTTCCATCTTGTATATCATCACCTGCAGTCTCTGATTTCCTTCTTATGTCCAACAATATGACGTTTGCGTCCCAGAATGATAGATCTGATACTCCTTGTTCTCCACCTCCATCCATTTTCTTGGTCTTTTGTGACTTTTTTCACACCAATTTTGAGTCAGATCTTTTGATTTTCTGAACTACGGTCTTTCATTTAGATAAATGTAAGCATATATGATTGGAAAAAAGTTGAATGCCAACCTAACACTTTAAAACCTATCAAAGATTAATTAAATGTTTGCACAAACTTGACACAGGCTAGCCCAACAGCGAGATACTAATATTTCATTGTCTTTGAGCATCTTTTGCCTCTGTTTTATATCTGTTGACAGGAGGATCTTCTACTGCTGCTACTTCTGGACCAAGTAAGTGCTTTATTTCTCGGAAGTGAATTTTAATAATGTTAAAGATACAAAAGTCATTTCATTTCAATTCAATTGTATTTATATAGCGCCAAATCAGAACAATAGTTGTCTCAAAGCTCTTTAAATTGTAAGGAAAAGACCCTACACTAATACAAGCACTTTGGTGACAAACGGTTCGGTGAAAAAAACCCTTTAAACCTGAATAAACCTTCAGAAAAACTAGGCCAAGGGAGGCGTGGCCATGTGCCACAGCTGGTTGAGGTGAGTGGAAAATGGTGTTGCGATGCAGCAACATCTGCGTACTAGGCCTATGTAAGATGGTTAATACAATGGAGTGAGGCGAGACAAGCTGACTATGGCACCTCCGGCGCCACTTCATGTCATTCCTTTTTTTTTTTCCTGGTCCTGTTTGGTTTTTTAGCCATCAGAACTGATGTCTGAAGGCCAACAAAGATATCCAATGGATTTACGTTACCAAGTAGATCATCACGGCCTTGCCGTATTGGTCCATTTGATCAACCTTTGTTATTATTATTTATTTATTTTTATTTTATTTTCAGTTGTTACAGATGGGACAGACATGGCTGGGGGATAGGAAAGGGAGAAGGAAAGATGGAGGAAAAGAAAAACAGAGGGGATGAGGGACAGTGAGAAAGGGCACTTAAAAAGAAAAAAAAATCTCCCGGATTACCCGTTGAGAGAAAAAAAAGAAAAAACAAGCAAAAAAAGAGAGCAACATAATAAACACAGCAAGGCAATTTCATTTGTATAGCATCCTTTCAGCACAAGGCAATTCAAGGTGCTTTACATGATTAAAATTAAAACATAAAATAAAACATAAATCACTTTAAAGTTTAAAATATAAGAAAACGTTTAGAAGAAAGCATTTACAATAAAACAATAATCAAGACAATAATTTGTATGAAAATTAAAAACAAGCAAGTGGAAAGCCATAATAGGATCAGTTACTCATAAGCAAGTCTAAATAAGTGAGTTTTAATTTTAGACTTAAAAGAGTTCAGTGTCTCTGCAGCTTTGCAGTCTCCTGGTAGTGTGTTCCAGATGTGAGGAGCATAGAAACTAAAAGCTGCTTCTCAATGTTTAGTTCTGGTTCTAGGGACTGTCAATAAACGAGAGCTGGAGGACCTGACTGATCTGGATGGTTTGTACTATAATAGCAGATCTCTAATGTACTCTGGTGCAAACCCATTCAAGGATTTATAAACTAATAAATGCACTTTAAAGTCTATTCTGTGAGCTACAGGGAGCCAGTGTAATGACTTTAGAACTGGAGTAATGTGCTCTATTTTCTTAGTTCTAGTGAGAACATGCGCAGCAGCGTTCTGGATCAGCTGCAGTTGTCTAATTGATTTTTTTTAGGTAAACCTGTGAAGATACTGTTACGGTAATCAAGGCAGCTAGAGATAAATGCATGGATGAGTTTTTCTAGGTCTCCTTGTGTCATCAGTCCTTTAATCCTAGAAATGTTCCTCAGGTGATAGAAGGCTGACTTTGTTATAACTTTTATGTGGCCCTGGAGGTTCAGGTCTGAGTCCATTATTATGCCTAAATTTCTGGCCTGGTCGGTAGTTTGTAGTTGGACCAGTTTAAGCTGATGACTGATATTTAATCGATCTTTTTTGGGTCCAAAGATAAGTACTTCAGTTTTGTTTTTGTTCAGTTTCAGGAATTATGAGACATCCAGTTGTTAATTTGCTCAGTGCATTTATTAAGGGTTTGGATAGGTTCAACATCACCTGGTGACATTGAGATATAAAGTTGAGTAGCGTCTGCATAATTGTGGTAGTTAATATTATTGGTGGTTATAATCTGGCTTAATGGGAGCATATAAATGCCAGGTAAGAGGGGCCCTAGGATGGAGCCCTGGGGGACCCCGCATGTGATTTCTATTTTTTGTGATGAGAATGGGCTAATTGACACATAGAAGTTCCTGTTCTTAAGGTAGGACTTGAACCAGTCGAGTGCTGTACCAGAAAGTCCGGCCCAGCTCTCTAGACGTTCCAGTAATATATCATGATCAACGGTGTTAAACGCCGCACTAAGGTCCAGTAGTACCAATACTGTGGACTTCCCACGGTCAGTATTTATACGGATGTCATTAAACACTTTGACAAGGGCTGTCTCGGTGCTGTGGTGCCTACGAAAACCAGACTGATAAATATCAAAGCGGTTGTTCATTGTGAGAAAGCTGTTTAACTGCTGGAAAACAGCTTTTTCAATAATTTTACCCATAAATGGAAGATTAGAGATTGGTCTGTAGTTTTGCATTAATGTGCTGTCTAGGTTCTTCTTCTTTAATATTGGTTTGATAACTGCTGTTTTTAAGGCTTTGGGAAAGACACCTGATAGATGGGATGTGTTAATTATTGGGATCAGATCCTCCCAGATGGCTGGGAGGACCTTTTTAAGAAAACCTGTTGGTAAGATATCAAAGCTGCTGTCAGGTTTCCTGGGTCGTTGACCCAGTGTTTTCAGTTTTGTCATGTTCAGTTTATTTTGCCATGTTTTTCACTTCCTGTTTCCTGTTTCAGCCTGTGTACCTGTGTATTGTCTTCCAACTCATTCCATGTATCGTTAGTTCAATTATGTTCAGCTGTTCACTCACCTGTCACCTATCAGTCATTATTCAGCTAGTGTATTTAAGTCCTCAGTTCCTTCCTGGTCTTGGTCGTGTCAATGATGATGTGATTGTTGTCCTTCCCGTTTGTATTCCGTTGTTCAGCCAACCATTCAGTCTTTAAGTTAGTTAGTCAGTCCTGCCGTTCCTGCTCTGTTCACTCGCTCTAATAAATCATCATCATTCAGCAACGTGAGTCGTGCGTTTGGGTCATCTCTTCCTCGCCCACACACAACAACCTGACAGCAGCAGGTGGCAGAGCTTAGTTTCTCAATAATTTTATCAGGGCTTGATTGATTTATTGTTTGGAAATGAGTCATTTTCTCTGCATGGGTGTCAATTGGGCTTAACGTCGGTATTGGGGTTGAAACTGATATGCTGATTGACCTTCTGATGTTCAAGATCTTTTCAGTAAAGAAGCTGGCAAATTCATTGCAGGCCCTATAGTGGAACTTAGTTCAGGGGCTGCTGCCACTGGAGGTGTAGTTAATCTCTCCACTGTAGCAAATAATGTCCTAGCATTATTGTTGTTTCTGTGAATAATCTCAGACAATAATGATTCCCTTGCATCCTTCAGGGCTAATTGATACTTATTCAGCCTCCCTTTATATATCTCGCAATGAACCTGGAGTAGAGTTTTCCACCATTTTCTCTCAGCGCACCAGCACTCTCTTTAGTTCATTACATACCAGTGGATCACTTCTCCACGGAGACTTCTTTTTTACTAGAGACAGTTTTAATCTTAAATGGCTCAATCTATCAATTTGTTTACTGAATGTGTGTTAGTGGATATTGGTGATTTCAATAAGGTAGAAGTGTACATCAGTTTAAGTTTTCAGCTGAGTTTTCTTTAAGGAAGCGTTTTTTAACAGTGATCTTACTCTGATTAGGTATTTTGGCTAAACTGGTGCTTTCAAATGAAATGCAGAAGTGATCAGATAATGCAATATCAGTTACAGCAATGTTAGAGATATTTAGATCTTTGCTAATAAGTAGGTCCAGAGTGTGTCCTCGATTATGCGTTGCTCACTAATGTGCTGGATTAGGTCAAAGTTATGGAGGACATCATTTAGTGCTTTTGTTCTGCTATCTTGAGGCTTGTCAGTATGGATGTTGAAATCTTCCACAATTGCACAATTGGTCATATTCTAGACATATTGCAGAGCAAAGGTCATTGAAATCATTAAAAAAGTTTGTGTTAGATGTTTAGAAATAAAACTTTGTTTGGTTCATTTGTTTCAGTAGCTAAATATTCAAAGGTGCTGAGGTGCTCACCTAGCGTAACCTTTTTGAAGTTTAGTGATTGGTGAAAGATTGCAGCAAGACCACCACCTCTTTTGTTTTTTTCTGGTCTCACTAATGAAGTGATAATCAGTTGGGCAAGTCTCTATTAGCACAGTTTGTTCTGAATTTCCATCTAACCAAGTTTCTGAAAGAAACAGAGCATGTATATCATGTGTAGTGATGTAATCATTAATTAGGAGAGACTTCCCTGATAGGGATCTAATATTTAGTGCAGCTGCTTTAATATTTCTTTCAGTGATTGAGAGATTATTTTTGCAATTATATTCAGATTCTGTACTGTTTGATTATAAGTACTTTTAGTGTGTAAGGATCTATTGCTTATAATAACTGGTATTTTACTTTCAGAATAAGAATAAGAGTGACTGGACACATGAAGGAATGATGCAATCTGGTAATGGCGTCCGGTCGGCATCAGATATCAGACTTGGTTAGGTGGAGTGGAGAGCCATATTGTTTATAATTAGTAGGTGGGTGTGGTACCACTTTTGGTGTCAGATGAATCCCTCTGTTAATCTGGGTTTGAAGGGGTTCGGGGAATGACTTAAATGGTGATATGATCACTGATGAGGATAATGATCATGAAGGTGTACAGACATCAGCTGGTGAGTTTCTGCACAGAGTTGAATCTGTATATTTAGCTGGAGTTGCTGTAACTGCTGCTGGAAGTGAAGTTGTTGGGGGTTGGCATAGTAACTCAGCAGTTTGAGCTATGTCAACTGATATGTTTCTGTACACAGTTGCTGAAACTCTGTTTCTTTCGAAAGTCATCAGGGACCGTTGTTTTTGGGTCGGCTGATATGTCTCTGGCGGGCTTATCACTGAAGGGTGCAAGTATGTCATGGTCTCTGTGTGATCCAGCTGGTTGGCATCCACTGTGTGTCTCAGCTGATATTGTGCAAGCTGATTCTGATGTCTTTATCTGAATTTGAGAACAGGGCGGTGAGTTCACACGAGACAACAAGTTCAGAAGATAAAGCCTCTGACCTTTCTTATTAATGTTACGTTCATTTCTTGTAAACAGGTGCTTCCTTCCACAAAAAATCTTAAAATTATTTAGAAATTGAATTGACCTTTCAGCACAGACAGTTTTAACAAACCTGCTGAATTTCATCCTGCTATATTCTTCATCTGAGGGCGTTTCTGGAATTGGTCCAGATACGTGAGGTTCTACCTTGTAGTTTTGAAAGTTCTGAAGTAAATCCAAGAAGTCTTTCTTTAAAATTTCAGATTTTTTCAGAAAGACGTCAGCAGCTCCAGCATGAACAACAACTTTTTCTAGCTCTAGGTTATTCTCAATAATCGATGGAATCCTCTCAGAAATTTCTTTTACTGTCATGTGTGGAAAATTAAAGACTTCTTAAAGCTTTTCAATGCCTTTGATTGATCCGTCATGGATAATAGCAAGTGCTCTCCCTCGCTTTCTGTTCTCTGTTCTCTTTGCCCATTTCGTGCAGCTTGCTTTATCTTTATTTATGTTACGGTGACCTCAATCTGCACCTTAATGTTGCATAAATACAACATCGCAGCACCATCGCATTAATCTAGCTAACAGTAAATACTAAATATTCAGTGTTGTTGTGCATCTTGCAGGACCAACAGCGCACAAAGTGCTTTGAGGTAGCAGCCAAGAAAGGTGTAGTTTGTGTCTGTGAACACCTGTGTGTACCTGTCTGAGAGCCCAATGAGGCTCTGGAGGGGCATCTGTGTCACCCTCCTAGGAGGAGCTGAGGAGAGCCCCAGATGAGGGGTAACCCAGCAGCCACGGAGCAGAAGCCAGAGGGGGCTGCAGTGACATGCCCGTGGGTTCTGCTGGCAGCCAGCTGTGCCAGAGAGGACCGAGCCCCAGGCCCAGAGGCCTGAGGGCCCCCCACATGCCAGAAGAGACCTGCCTGAGCCACGGGCGGAAGGCCCCGCCATGCAGCCACCGGGAGTGAGCCGTTACATACCTGAGCACCCAGCCCCAGACACCAAGAACCACCAACTCACCAACGCCTGAGAGCATCAGCCACCAGCAGGGAGTGTGATTCATGAATGACACATGTCATTCCTTGACCAAGTTTTGATCTGTTTGGCTCTTTCCCTATCCAACTGCACCACTTCCTGGTCAACATCTCCCACTCGCTGTGTGACCACAAAGGATCCTTGCCACTTGGCGAGTAACTTTGAGCTAGAAGAAAGGGGTAATACAAGCAGAGAGTACCGAATTAAAATTTTCCTTGCGCTTGATACTTCCTCACCATTTAATTTAATGAAATCCAACACCACCCAACAAATCCAATGGAGGCCCTGGGCACCTTCCACACTACAAATAGGGTTTGGCCAGTGATTCTAATTGCATTCATCCTCAAGAATGAACTCATAAAACATGGACCTGTACATTTTTTTGGCACCAACAACTGGGTGTGTTCCTCTCCAGTGGGAGTTTTGTGACTAGCTCCAAACAACCTGTTCCTATTCATCACAAAATGCTGATATCTTATGTCAGGGCACACCATTTGGCAATCAATTTTCTTCACTTGTTTAAAGTCTGAGTCTGGAGTGTTGTTACGAGACTGCTATAGTGTTTCCACTATAGCATCTTACGTGGAGGAATTGCTGTATTTTATTTATTTATGTTTATAGTCACATTTTGGGAGGTTTAATAAATTTGTCCATATTTCTAGAAATGAGAGCTGCTCCATCCAAAGTGGGATGGATGCC